GGGGGGTAGGGAGAGTGGGAACAGGGGTAGAACAATCAAGCAATATACATACAATCCCCTGTCCCACTGATGGACTGTTGACACCTAATCAAATGGAAAAATAAATTTCCCGTAAACCTTTCGAAAAATTCGTAATAAGGAATTTATAACGATTTAATCAAATTAATTAACGAAAATAAATCCAAATGATAATCGGTAAACAATGTAAAGATTACGAATTAATAACGAATTTGAAAGGTATTATGATTAGGTTTCTTTGAGATCAATATGAGACCGGGAGTTCACTTGTTTAATAAGTGGACTGCCCGGTAGTTGCAATTTAAGGTCAGACACGACTTAGTGTGCTTAAAAAAATTTCGGAAAATTTCAGAAGAAAAATGCTCGAAAAATTCAAAAATGCGAAAGTCGAGACTTCCCACCGTCAAAATCCGATTTTTAAAAGCCTAAACCTAATTTCGGATTTTCTCAAACAAGGAGAACGAAAAAAAATTTCGCGAAAATTTCGGTCCCAACCCTAATTTCCGCGTTTCGGCGAAATTTCCGGATTTACGGTCCAAAAACGTTCGGTTTTCCCCCAAGTTGATCTAAAACCACAAGATTTTCATAACCCTAATACTGAAAGACAACGGAAATCTCAATAGAAAACGAAAAGTAGGATTTACAACAGAATGCCAAAAACGGAATGCTGAATAAACATCAAAACCCGAATTTCAACATGATACTGATTCAACCCTAATTACGAATACCTACTCAAAAATCCGAATCAAACAGAATGTTGGATTAGTGTCAATCTCTCATATCTCCTTAAACAGCATACCGTGTATAACAGAAATCCGAATTTTAAAGTCCGAATACTGAATCGAAACGGAAATGCCGAACTAGCGAGAATTCCAAAAAGAAAAAAAAAGAAAATTTGCAACTTTGAACTTGATAATACTTCAGCGCCGTTTTAGAAGATCAAACGTGATAACCTAATTCTAACACGGTCTTACCTGGTGAGCAGATCCGTTTTGGTCTGCTCCGATACCAAAACTGTTGCATACTTCAATGAGTATGGGCAGAACCAAAGATCAACCAATATAGGATGAGCATTTATGCAGCGGAAGTCTGATAACGAACTGACTCACATAGACTGACCTACATGGCATCATTCCACACACATACAATCATGAGATGGTGGGGTCTGGGTCATACATAGAAGATACCCAGATCCCGTACACACATGCACAGATGAAAGGTGGGAGGAGAGACGAAGGAGGTAGGAGGTAGATCACACTGATAGGTCACAAGATAGGGTCCGGTAGGTCTCCGAAATAGTAGTCCAGAATGTCATATAACAAGATCAAAATGTCGAGGACCAAAAGGTCACCAATGTCGGAGATAACCGAATCCAGATGTAACCGGTGTCCACTTGTGATGCAGCCGAGTATCAACCTCAACAATCTCCAAGTCTCCAATCAGGTAAGTACCACAGTCTCGTATCACCGAAGTCCAACCCTGATCTCTGTCCAACTGGATAGTCTCCAATCTGAAGAAGAAGAAGAAGAAGAAGAAGAAGAAGAAGAAGGAGGAGAAGAGGAGAGAGAGAGAGAGGGCACTGGCGAGGGAGAGGAGGAGAGATCCTCCAAGCTCCCGGTACCTCAGGCGGCAATGGCCGCCGTGCTGGCTTAGTCGCCCTGCCGCTGCTCCGCTCGCCGCTGCGCTAATCTGCGCTATGCTGCGCTCCTGCTTCAGCCCCTGCGCTAAGTTTAGCGCATC